AAAAAAAAAAAAAAAAAGCCAGGCCTGTTGGTGGGCGCCTGTAATGCCAGCTACTCAGGAGGCTGAGGCAGGAGAATTGCTTGAACCTAGGAAACGGAGGTTTGCAGTGAGCCGAAATCATGCCACTGCACTCCAGCCTGGGCGACGGAGCAACACTTTGTCTCAAAAAAAAAAAAAAAAAATTAGCTGAGTGTGGTGGCGCACATCTGTACTCCCAACTATTTGGGAGGCTGAGGCAGGAAAATCGCTTGAACTCAGGAGGTGGAGGTTGCAGTGAGCCAAGATCACACTACTGCACTCCAGCCTGGGTGACAGAGTGAGAATCCATCTCAAAAAAAAGAAAATAAATAATAATTAATAAAAATACAAATACGAAAAATTAGCCAGGCGTGGTGGTGCATGCCTGTAGTTCCAGCTACTCAGGAGACTGAGGCAGAAGAATTGTTTGAACCCGGGAGATGGAGGTTGCAGTGAGCCAGGATTCGAGATCTTGCCACTGTACTCCAGTCTGAGTGACAAGAGCAAAACTCTGTCTCCAAAAAACAAACAAAAAAAAGGATACAGTGTACAGTGTGGTAGGGAGCATAGATGAGGAAGACAGGAAAGACTGGGGACAGGGACACTAGACAGAGGTCTCCCGAAAAATTAGTGCCCATAGCAGGTGTTTGGTCGACAGGTCTCAGCCCTCAGATAAACCCATTTCCAAAGATGAAGGCTAGAGAATGAGAATAATGACTTATGGTTCTGGATGGGCATGGTGGCTCATGCCTGTAATCCCAGCGCTTTGGAAGGCGTGGCCGGCAGATCACCTGAGGTCAGGAGTTCAAGACCAACCTGGCCAACATGGTGAAACTTGGTCTCTACTAAAACTACAAAAATTAGCCAGGCATGGTGGTAGGCACCTGTAATCACAGCTACTCAGAAGACTGAGGTAGAAGAATCACTTGAACCCGGGAGGTGGAGGTTGCAGTGAGCCGAGATCGCACCACTGTATTCCAGCCTGGGTGACAGAATGAGACTGTCTCAGAAAAAAAAAAAAAAAAAAAGGCTTGTGGTTCTGCACTTTAGGTACCATGTTGGTCAGGCTGGTCTCGAAATACTCACATTTGTGAGTAAGAAGAGGTTGTAACGATGTTCACTGTGGCGTTGTTTCTAAGGGTGAGATGTGAGAACAATGGAAATATCCAACAACAGGAAATAGATTAAAAGGAGATATATTCAGTCTATGGGATATTACAGCCACCTAAAGAATGAAGGTGATGTCACCAGGTATGATGAAAAAAATGTGAGTTCCAGGACACGTTTTACGGTTTGCTACCATTTATGAAAACAAAGCTACATAAATGTATATGACATTAGTGTACATAAAAATATAAAAGGCTATAGTCCAAAATTATATTGTGATTATCTCTAGGGACGAGAGTAGGAAGAGAGTAAAAGGGGATTTTTACTTTTGACTCTCTATAGCTCTGTACTGTTTTTAACAGTTTAAAATGAAAATTTATTCCTCCTGGTGCAATGGCTCACACCTGTAATTCTAACACTTTGGGAGACTGAGGCGGGCAGATCACTTGAGCTCAGGAATTTGAAACCAGCCTGGCCAGCATGGCAAAACCCCATCTCTACAAATAATAATAATAATAATAATACCAAAAATAGCTGGGTGTGGTGTTGCACGCCTGTAGTCCCAGCTACTCTGGAGGCTGACATGGGAGGATCACTTAAGCCTGGGAGGCGGAGGTTGCAGTAAGCTGAGATCGTGCCACTGCATTCCAGTGTGGGCAACAGAGCAAAAGCCTGTCTCAAAAAAAAAAAAAAAAAAAAAAGTATTCCTATATAAAAAGACTTTGGCTGAGTGCAATGGCTCACGTCTGTAATCCCAGCACTTTGGGACGCCAAGGCGGGCAGATCACGAGGTCAGGAGTTCAAGACCAGCCTGGCCAACATAGTGAAACCCCATCTCTACTAAAAATACAAAAATTAGCCAGGGTTGGTGGCACTTGCCTGTACCTGTAATCCCAGCTACTCGGGAGGCTCAGGCAGGAGAAGCACTTGAACCCGGGAGGCGGAGGTTGCAGTGAGTAAAGATTCCGCCATTGCACTCCAGCCTAGGCGACAGAGCAAGACTTCATCTCAAAAAAACAAACAAAAAAAAGACCTCATGGCCAGGTGCAGTGACTCACTCCTGTAATCCTACCACTTTGGGAAGCCGAGGTGGGTGGATCACCTAAGGTCAGGAGTTCGAGACCAGCCTGTCCAACATGGTGAAACCCCGTCTCTACTAAAAATACAAAAAATTAGCTGGGTGTGGTGGTGGGTACCTATAATCCCAGCTACTTGGGAGGCTGAGGCAGGAGAACCACTTGAACCCGGGAAGCAGAGGTTGCAGTGAGCCAAGACCGTGCTATTGCACTCCAGCCTGGGCAACAAGATTGAAACTCCATCTCAAAAAAAAAAAAAAAGAAGAAGGCAAGAATCACATAAAAACGAGGCTCAGAAAATTTCACAGTTGAAAATCTCTGGAATGTTCTGGTTCAAGCCCCCCGAACCTCAGGAGCACAATACAGGGCAAAAGGAAGAAACTTCACTAAGACATAGGAAGGTGCCGAACAGAAGCAAACAAATTAAACCCCCAACTTCTAATACACTTGAACTGAAGCTGGGCATGGTGGCTTATACGTGTAATCCCAGCACTTTGGGAATCCATAAGGCAGGAGGACAACTTGACCTAGGAGTTTGAGACTAGCCTGAGTAACATAGAGAGACTCTATCTCTATACACAAAAATCATTAGCCAGGAAGGGTGGTGTACACCTGTGATCCCAGCTACTTGGGGGGTTGAGGCAGGAGGATCACTTGAACCTAGGAGTTTGAGGCTGAAGTGAGCTATGACTGCACCACTGTATTCCAGCTTGGGCAACACAGCAAGACCCTATCAAAAACAAAAAAAATGCTCCATTTAAAAAAATTATTAGATTCAGGCTGGGTGCAGTGGTTCATGCCTGTAATCCCAGCACTTTGGGAGGCTGAGGCGAGCAGATCACAAGGTCAAGAGATCACGACCATCCTGGCCAACATGGTCTCTACTAAAAATACAAAAATTAGCTGGGCGTGGTAGCGCGTGCCTGTAATCCCAGCTACTTGAGAGGCTGAGGTAGGAGAATCACTTGAACCCGGATGGCAGAGGTTGCAGTGAGCCAAGATTGCACCACTGCACTTCAGCCTGGTGACAGAGAGACTCCATATCAAAAAAAAATAAAAATAAAAATACTAGATTCAAGGGACATTGTCGAGCTGCTATAAAAGTTTCCAAGTGCTTATTCTCAATTTCTGTCCTTATTAGAGACAGGACAAGAGGACATTCTCGGAACAGAACCCAGGATACAGACTGAACTTTTGAGTTGCGCTGCGCCACAGGGCACTGCTATTCCACTATACTATGTTCACCTGTTACACGGGCTCCCTTGAGAGACTGAGTCCCACACACATCTGGCTCATTACCGAACACTATGGCTCAGTCCACAGAGCATGCTTCAATGACTCCATGGACTAAAGGAATGTTCAAGTTAATGTCTCTGGCCACAGCTGCTAAGAGAGGTTACTCACCATTTGGAACCAGGAGGAGGCTTTTCACAATGCTTCTGAGGGAGCTGAGACTGATACGATTGGTGGTGGCAAATTCAGAGAGCTGAGCCAGAAACCTTTCCACCTGCAGTGAGGGAACAATGAAAACCTGGGCCTTCACTTTTTAAGCATCTCAGGGACCACGGACCCACTCTTCCTAACATGGAATGTTCTATTTACCTCTTTTGGCTCAGTTAGGAAGTGGAAAAGCACCTCTGTCAGGGCTGAGAACTGCTGTGAAGGAAACAACACAGAACATCAGTACAATTTCTACTGCTGGGTCAGCATGCCCCACCCCAGGCAACTGCAGAGACTTGAGAGGGAAGAACAGTAACAGCCAGGTGTTATGCCTGTTCTGATCATCCTAGTTACAAATGTTCACAATCCCACCACCGTGTCAATATACGTGTGTCACTACATCATCTGAAAAACACGTTTATTGGGATACTTGGGAAACATGTATTGAGAGACTGTGAGCATACGCACTCAGAAGCACACATATATCTCTAGGACACAGACACACACAGACAGACATACACACACACATGCACAAAGGGAAAATCACCAGAAAATTAAAAGCGGTTACCACTTTGGATGATTTTTGTTTTCTTCTGTTTTACCTATTCATATTTTCTTTTTCTTTTTTTTTTTTTTTTGTTTCCCTGAGATAGGGTCTCTCTGTTGCCCAGGTTGGAATGCAGTGATGCAATCTCGGCTCACTGCAACCTCTGCCTCCTGGGCTCAAGCGATCCTCCCACCTCAGCCTCCAGAGTAGCTGGGACTACAGGCATATGCCACCACACCTGGCTAATTACTTTTTTTAATGTAAAGACAGGATCTCACTTTGTTGCCCAGGATTGTCTCCAACTCCTGGGCTCAAGCAATCTACCCACCTGAGCCTCCCAAAGTGCTGGAATTACAGGCATAAGCCATGCACCTGGCCTCATATTTTCTTGGGTTCCCCCCACCCATAAACATCTCATTACTTGTGTAAGACAACAATAAATTGTAACACTTTATTATGCACCTAGAACAGACTCTTACAGTTTTGTGTGTCTTAATCTTTTCTCTTTACTGGTACTGTGCTGTTAGGAACTGAATGTTTGTGTCTTCCCCAAATTCATATATTGAAGCTCTAACTTCTGTTGTGACAATATTTGAAGACAGGGCCTTTTAGATGATAACGGTTAAATGAGGTCATAGAGACCATCACCCCATAGGGCTGGGGGCCCTTATTTTGATTTTATTTTATTTTTTAGATAGAGTCTCACTCTGTTGCCCAGGCTGGAGTGCAGTGGTGTGATGTCGGCTCACTGCAACCTCCACCTCCCGAGTTCAAGCAAGTCTCCTGCCTCAGCCTCCCGAGCAGCTGGGACTACAGGTGCCTGCCACCACACCTAGATAATTTTTATACTTTTAGTAGAGACAAGTTTCACCATATTGGCCAGGCTGGTCTCGAACTCCTCACCTCAAGTGATCCACCTGCCTCGTCCCCGCAAAGTGCTGGGATTATAGGCATGACCCACCGTGCCCAGCCCAGGGCTGGGGCCTTACAAGAGGAAGAGGCCAGGTGCAGTGGCTCACGCCTGTAATCCCAGCATTTTGGGAGGCCAAGATGGGAGGATTGCTTGAGGCTGTGAGTTTGAGATCTGCCTGGGCAACATAGCAAGACC